CCCTGATGTAGGCTTTTAAGGTCTACAAGAGCACTTTACTACATACTGAGAGGTCCTGGGATGGATAGAAGTCTTGGGCCTAGAGTCACAGAGACCTGGGTTCCAGTCCTACCTCAGACACCTATGAGCTGTGTACCCCTGGGCAAGTCATTTACCCTCTGTTTGCCTCAGTTTTCTTCTCTGTAAAATGAGTGGGTTGGACTCGATTGCCCTCTGATACTTCTTTTCATCACAGCCAACCTTAGGAGGTAGGTAGGATCTTATTCCCATTTTATAGATGAGATCACTGAAGCTTTGTGAGATGCAAGGGACTTGCTCAGGGTACCCCAGCCAAGGAGTTTGTGTGTTGAGAAGCTGGTCCTAATTTGCAGGCCAACACTCCTTCTCCTGTACCCCAGAAGTGCCAGTGGGGGGACACTGTGATAAGGAGAGTCAAACAGAGCAGGCCCCGAGTCCTGGCTCCCCATCCCAGGAAGCCCTAGCAATCCATCGATTGATCAACTGACCTGGTGAAGGATTGAAGATCTTTGCAGTTATCCTTCCTGTCCTGAGTACCAAGCAGACTGTGTTCCCTTAATTGTGAAAGGACAAAGAATAGATCAGCAAAGGCTTTCACATTTCCTTAAAATTGTAAAAAATCATAATGAGAGGAAGCATGGCATCATGGGTAGAGAACTAGCCTTGTAGCCCGGAAAACCTGGATAGAGACTTATCCCCTTCTGGCTGTGTGACCCTGGGCGATGGCCTGTTCCTCTCTGCTCTGGGCCGCTCTCAGACTCTATGGAGCAGTGATGGGTAGACCTGTATTCACAGAGGAAGTTTGCAGTCCCTTTCCCTAGAAACTTAATGTATGTAGAAATAGAAGACGCCTGATTTGGGGAGTTCCTAAGGGTGTAAGAGCTCTTTTTACCTAGCAAGAGAGCCCCAGAGTCCTAGAGGGTGGCCTGAGGCACATGGAGGCCCAGTCACAGCCAAGGGCCATCACAGCACTCATTCCAGAGTCCCCTAGGCCTATCTAATAATAGAATGTAGTAGACAAGAACAGTCCAATCAATATGCAAAATAAAGAACACCTGAAATAGCCCATCCTCTGTTGTAACAAAGGACCAGAGTACCAGCCCCCCCAAGTCCTTTTGTTCTCCTGCCCTTTCTCCTTCCTTCTTTGCCGTTATTTCTATTTACATGTATTATATGTTATATATGATGTTCATGTACAGAGTATATTCATGCATATTACTTATTACATTCAAAATCTGGTTCCTCAGCCTTTCCTTTACTTCAGAAAAAGCTTAATTGATGCCTTTTATTTTTATATCCTGGCCCCTCTGTGCTCTTCGCCCAAGCATTGAACCCTCCCTTGTTAATAGGGGAAAACAATTAAGCAAAAACAGTCATTACGGTGAGAATGGCTGACAGCATATGCAAAATCATGCCCCTGTGGTAGCCCTACCCTCCTTTGTGGAAAGGAGGAAAGACATGTTTTATCATTTAATGAGCTTTAATTTGGACACGTTGAGTTTGAGATGACAGCAGGCCATGCGAGTAGAGATGTCTGACAGTTGGCACTTTGGAAGGGAAGGTAAGAGAAACACTTCAGCTGGAGATATAGGGTTGTGAGTCATTTGCTTAGAAATGATAATTGAGTCCATGGGAGCTGATGAGATCTCGGAGGTATAGGAGAGAGAAGAGAAGAGGGCCTCAGTGGGAGCCTCGTGGGATACCCATGCTAAGAGGAAGGGAGATGGGTCATGAGGAAGACGGAGAAGGTAGCAGGGAGGCAGTGGCTTGGAACTTGAGAAGCGTGTCCAGAAGAAAGCAGCTGCCATGGGCCGGGGATGATCAGGACTGAGAAAGAGGCCATCAGAGGAACCGTGAAGACACCATTGGTAACCTTGGCAGGAGCAGGTGTAGTAACTTCATCCGAGGTATTTCTTTAGGTCTGAGCGCTTGCAATGTCACCCATGTAGCCAATTTGGTAATTTCCTTGGGAGGTTTGGGATGGTTATCATGGAAGCAGATAAACAGCCTCCTGGAGCCTCCATCAAAAGACCTTTACTAATAGTTGCTTCTTTCCTTTGAAATGGAGAGAGACTTTGAGTCAGTTTAAATAAATGCCTCCTCCTTAATTTAAGTGTTGCCAGTAAAGGCTGCTCAGTAGACCAGTGGTAGAAGGATTTGAGCAAATAGCTTTGAAAGGAAGAAATATAAACTATCAAAACCACATGAAAGAAATCTTGACAATCACTGTTAATCAGTGAAACGAAACTTAAAACAATCCTCTCGCACCCATCAAGCTAGCGAGGATGGGAAAACTCACTGTTGGAGGGGCTGTGGGAAGACAGGCGTGCTAATTCACAGCTGGTCCAGCTGTGAATTGCTTCAACCGTTCTGGAAAACAATTTGGAATTATGCAAGAAAAATTACTAAATTGTTCATACCCTTTGACTCAGACATTCCAGTTCTGGGACTATCCCCCGGGGAGGTTATTGACAGCGAGAAAATATGTACCAAAATATACATAGCAGGCTTACTTGCCCAAGGACACCCAGTTAGTTAATGGCAGAACTGGGATTTCAACCCAATTCTTTCGACTCCAAGTTCATTGTTCTTTCAGCATTGCTCCACATTGAGTCTTCTCAGTGCTTGTGGTTAAGAGTGTAGAATGGTGAAAGTTTTGTTTTTGTTTTTGGCTTTGCCAAGCACAGTGCCTGGAACTGAGGATTCACTTACTAAAATGCTGGTTTAATTGGATTTAATTTCCTCAAATTTCGTGGCTATTGTAAACATCAGGGCTGTAGGGCTGCAGAATCCTCCTGTCTATTTTTAGAAGCTGTAGTTAGGAAGAGAGGGAGAAAGTTTGCCTGGACAGGGCCCCTGACTTATTCTGGGTTAGCAATGTGGAGCTGGTGGGCAGTAGCATACATGTTTTAGCTGAGTTCCTGCCAAAGGGATGGGAGGCTTTAGCTGAATTTTCCCCAGAGGCATGGGAGGGTTTCTGGAGATGGAGAAGAAGAATGGCTCAGCTTTGGTAAGCTCCTTGCTGGTGGCCAGACCGGAGCCCTGCCCATTTCCATATAGATACCTGATACTTTGTAGAGAACTGAAGAAGAGATTGGTTCTTCTTCGCATACAGATGTCCCCACAAAGAAGACAGGGGTGGGTGGGTGGGGAACCTTTGCAAAGAAGATTCTTCATCAAGTTCTGCCTACCAAGATAGGATGGGACTTCATGATCATTGCGGTTTCTCTTCCCTTAGCTTGAGTTGGAAAAAACTCTTGTTAATGCTCGTCTGGAGAATAGAAGCAGGAGGTGACTTGTTACTTGACGTCGTGATTGCCTGTTGACAGGCTCATTCAACAAAGATTTAGTATGTACTCTTGCACTGTGGGAGATACGAAGATGGATAAGAACTGGGCCCTACCCTCTTGGAGCTTAAAATCAAGCAGATTCTCTGCAGCAAATCTGCATTTCCTTCAGTGCTTTTTCTGGTCCTCTTGCAGCTGTGCCCACCCCCCCCCAAAAAAAAATCTGCTTTTTTTAGGGCCACCATTTCATTTGTGTTTTGGCCAGACCCATTTCATTTCACGTGTGGACGTGGTCAGCTGCTAGCCAAATGGTTCCTACTCAAGTTCCCCAGAGCCCTTTTGCCCACTAGATGGGGTATGTTTTCCTGTGCCCACTCAGCCTGAGGCCTCAGGGCCTTCTTGCCCTCTCCCATTAACCCCTGATCCAAATCCATCTTGGATTTCCTTTCATGCAGGGAAACAGCATGGTTTATTGGAGTCTACAGATCTGCTTTCCAATCTCTACTCAATCACTTATTCACCTTGTGACCGTGACCTACTTACATACTTTTCTGGGCCTCAGTTTCCTCCTGTGTAGAATGGAGATGATGATGATAACAGTATTTGTACTACCTCCTTCACAGGGCTCTTGTTAGTTTCACAAGTCGATGAAAGTGCTGATGCCAATGTTAGACATTGCTATTTAAGGAATAGTTTAACTAGCAGATACCTTTGGGGAGAGCTAATATTTTAAGTATGGAACCTCAGCATTAAGGTAGAAGTTCTGGTATCAGCCATTGAATTCAAGCAAGGGCCCAAGTCCAGGAAGGTGGCTACAGCAAGAATTCAGAGCCCAGACCAGGGACTGAGGAGCAAAGAAAATGGGGGTGGGGTGGGTCAGGATCTAGGCAAATGGGCCATGTAAGGGGGCAGTAAGGTTATTCTTGTTCTCAGGGCTTGGGAAGCAGGCCTGAACCTGAAGTGGGGACCTGGGGAGGGGCAGAGAGAAGGGACAGTTCCAGACAACAAAGAGACCCAAATAAGGAAATGACCCATTAGGATAAAAACAGAAGTGCCAGCCTCATTTATTGGAAATGTCACCTCATTTATCTGTTGTTAATTATAAACAGTTACAGCCACACAGGCATGAGAGGCAGTGTGGTACTGTGGCTAGAGTCAGGAAGCCCTGGGTTTTAATCCCACTTCTGAGTAGCTGTGTGACCCTGGGCAAGTCCCTTAACTTCTCTGAGCTTTAGGCTCTTCTGTCAAACAGGGCTAACAAGAGTGCCTCCCTCTCTGTGCTCTTTTCAGGAGGCTCAGATGGTTGTGAAGGCCCCTGCGAACTTTAGGGTGCTATACACATGGTGGTGGTTACAATGGCAGTGCAAGCCAAGCGTTTGGAGACGTGGGGCGGGGGAGAGTGTTGTCTCTTCTACAGCTGATGGTTGGGGTCGTTCTCACCTTTTTTTCATGTTCTGTTTTCATTTCTCTCTGATTCCTGATCAGCCTGCCCCAAGTTATTAGGCATCCTGGCTGGCTGGTGGGCTGCCTCTTTTATTTAGCCCCACAGTATACACTGAGGCTTGCTTCTTGGCTTTTCAAATTGGGTTGGAGAGCTGGAAGAGGAGGCCTCTTCCTTCCTTCCTTCTGCCATGGCTTGCTAGCTTGAGTCCAGGGAGTCTCACAGTTTGCCTCTCCCTTTTCTTCCCCCTGCAGGTCTTTGAGCCTTGTGACCTTTACACAGGCAGCAATTTCTCCAGAGTGCTGAGTACCCTTTTAGCTGTCAACAAAGCCACTGAGGGTAAGGCAGGGAGGGGTGTGTGTGTTGGGGGGGTGAGTGGGAGGGCTTCTTATTTGTGTCTGCTGTGCCATGGAGATCTCTTGGGTACCCTGAGGACTCCTGATCACCCAAGGAGCCAGCTGAGACCCAGCTCAAGGTACAGTTGGTGGGAACAGTTTTGGTATTAATGTATAAAGGTTGAAACAGATACCTTGCAAATGCCCGGGCATCTTTGCATAGTGTGAAGAACAAGGGTCCCCAGATGAGTGGCATTATGGGATGGGTGGGGATTGGTGAAGGGAGGGGAGGGAAGGGTAAAGGTCAGGCTCCTTTCTTCTTATGGGTTGCAAATTGAGGACCCAGCTCCCCTCTTTCCATTAGAAAGACACAGCTTCTTCCTGTCTTCCCTTTCCCCACCTTCTTCCTTTCTGGTAAACTCATGCTCTGAATCCAGCTCCAGTTACTGGTGAGTGGACAGTGCCGGGCTTGGGGTTAGGAAGAAGACCTGGGTTGCAGTCCCTGTCTCTGCTAGCTGCTCATTGTGTGACCCAAGGCAAGCCACTTCACTGTTCTGTGCCTCAGTTTGCTCATCGGTAAAACAGATAATAATAACACCTTCAAAAACAGAGTTGTTGGGAGATTTAGATGCGATTTAAGGTATGCAGACTTTGAAAACATCATGGAAACTTTCAGCCACTCGGTGAGTGGAAGAAGTATCTATGTGTTTCCACGACATCTAGCCCAGGAGTGGGGAACCTTCGGCCTCAAGGCCACATGTGGCCCTCTAGGTCCTCAA